AAAAAACAAAAAAAGGGCTGGGGATGCATCTCAGTAGTAAAGCACCCCTGGATTCAATCCCCAGTGAAAGAATGAAAGAAAGAAAGAAAGAAAGAAAGAAGAAAGAAAGAAAGAAGAAAGAAAGAGAGAGAGAAAAAAAGAAACTTGGACCTTTACTGGCCAGGAAGGCTTGACAGTCTACTACCATACCAGCGACACAATTAAATAGAATGATTTAATTTTTTTTGCTTGTTTTCGCAATGTGTTCCCAATTTTAGACAAAATGGACAACATGGCCCACTTCTGTCCTTTGTTCTTTTTTTTTTTTCCTTCTGAGCCTTTTAAACACACTAGAATCTGTTAGTAAATGATATGAAGCAGAAAGGTGAATTGTGGAGAGTAAAGTCAGGTGGTTTTTTATTATTTTGCTTAATATAAACAAAAATTTCATGAGTGTTGATGTGATGTTGGCAGGCAAACCTCTTTCAAAACATGAAATACATATAAGAGAGAGAGGGTGGGGGAAGAGAGAGGGAATCCCTGAGTTGGGATGAGATTGAACCACTGAGGGGTGGTCCCACATCCTCACCAAATAGGGACCCCTACTCGACCATCAAAGCTATTTTCCGTAACCTTTTCTGAACCTCTGTAAAGTCTCTAATTCTTGGTATTTTATAGCAAGGACCCTGAAGCCTTTCAGTAAGGCCATCTGCTTACTTAGGGGACAGTGGAAAAGTCAGAGCCAGGCCGACTGCTGCTGTATCCCCCAGAGCCCTGCCAGGTGTGTGGAGAGAGGGCATGGCCCAGTTGGAAAGGGACCTGAAGGGAGAAAAGGGGTGCTTGGCTGGCCTGGGCATCCAGCAGGAGGCCACAGGCTCCCTGAGGACTGACAGGGGAGATTGACACAATGGAGAGCAGTCACCTCCTCAGCACGATCCCTTTTTCAAGCTGTTCCAGGGTGTCGGTGTCATACTTTCGCCCCTCTGCTGAGTGGAGCTTTCCAGGCTGAACCCAGACATTCGCACACCCCGCCAAGAGTTAGAGATCATTTCCTCGGTTTACAATGAGGAAACTGAAGCTTAGCAGGTCACATACCACATGGAAGGTCACATGGAGAGGAAGGGGCAGAGCCAGGATGCAAGCTGGGACTGAGGGCGCCCAGTGCAGGCCTCCATGTGGGCTCTGCTTGCCGGCTGCTTGCTTTCTTGGCCTGCACCCGCCCTTTGCTTCTCTGAGCTCCAGCTGTGGCTTGGGTGTGTGCCATGCAGTCTGCACTCTGCTGTGTTCTCATCTCTTCCTGGGATTGAGTTTAATTTCAACAATTAGAGCTTGGAGGGCAGGCACTGGGTCCTATGAATTATTTCTCAGGAACCTGGAAGTTCAAGGCTCATTGCAGGCTCTCGATGAATACCTGCACTTTGTAATGGTCAGCCCGCTGCCCGGCTCTGTCTGCACTGTGGTGTGCTCTCTTGTGAGTCTAACTCGTTTGAACCCAGGAACCTACAAGAGTCAACCAGAGCAGAGACAGCAAGAAGCACAGGCAGCTGGGCACAGTGGCGCATACCTGTAATCCCAGTGGCTCTGGAGGCTGAGGCAGGAAGATTTTTCACAAGTTCAAAACCAGCCTCAGCAACTTAGCAAGGCCCTAAGCAACTTAGTGAGACCCTGTTTCTAAATAAAATATAAAAAGGGCTGGGGATATGGCTCAGTGGTTAAGTGCCCCTGGGTTCAATCCCCAGTTCAAAAACCAAACCAAAACAACAACAAAAACAAACAGCACTCTGAAGGAATTTATAGAAGAGTCCAGATCTCTATTCCTGTCAAGTCCACCCATCTATAGCAAACTAAGTGAAATAATGAAAGCTTTTTCTCCCTTGTGGGGATGGTCATTCCAACTCCCCTGACGGGGTTAAGGAAAAGCAGTGCTAAACTTATATACATTGTGCCAAAAACTCGGGCATAGGTTAGACCCAGCAGTTATGCTTCCATTTGCAACTGTATCTATAGAAAGAGAGACTGTCTTACATGGAGGTCAGCTTGGAAATGCCCAAAGTGTGGCTGCTGTGACTACAGGTCAGGGCTATTTCATTGAGTGGGGCTCCCTTCTATGCTCAGTAATCACTGAGAAAATGCTTCCCTTCCATCACCAACTCCTCAGGAAAATGATGGGCGTACTCTGAGGACAAGGCACATCAGGGGCAGTCTGCCTGGGGACACACCCAAGGAGGACAACGGCAGATAAGTCACCCTAAGTAGGTAGCTCTCAAATAACCATGTGTGGCTTATCCACCTTGTGCACATTCAGTGTTTCCTGATTGTCTAGTGTCTGTCTTACACATGGACCAGAGTTCCCACATGCTGTGTTATATGCAAAAGCATTTTGATATTGACCTTGACCAAAAACTCAGAATATTAAATCAGTTGCCTACAACTATAGGATGAATTCTATGACCAAGCAGAAATGATTTGTGGAATAACTACTTTGGGCATCAGAATCACTGTTCTTCATGGAGGGCCAAGAAGGTATTGTTTCCAGTTGAAGTACTATCATTTCAGATTGGAGCTGAAAAGATGCCTGTGGGTCTTGTGGTGTGGTGCAGTGATTTTCTAGTTTGGTCTTAGTAGGAGAACACTTTTGTCAAAGGAAATCCTCCCCAGAAGCCAACATGTAACTTGGATGAACCGTGAGCCCTTGGTGCCCTGCCTCTGGGGCTTGCTCTTCCACTTGAAGTTCCTCGGAACATAATTAGGAAAGCCACGAAGGCATCTCCCTTATTGACTTAAGTCACTCTCTCCCTTGCACAACAGTAGTTTTTGAGCCCCTCTTTGTACTAGGTGATGGGGATTCAGCAGGATTCAGGATAAAGGTGGTCCCTGCTTTCACTCTGCTTACACTGTGTGGGATAGAGCAAAGCCAAGTTCAGAAGATAGTTAGTGCTATGAAGAGAACAGATCAGGATGCTGTAATCTAGCTTTAGATAGGGCAATGGTCAGGAAAGGCTTCAAGGGAACACTCATGAGCTGAGATCAGGAAGATAATCTTGGAGATGTCCTGATTTTGACCAATGAGGAAGCAGACCCAAAGAGGTGAAGGGACTTTCCCCAGGACACAGTGGGCAGGGAGCCCAGCCAGCACTTGACCTGGGGTTTCCAGGACCCTGTGCCCAGGGCTTTTCCTTCCACAAACGTTGACTAAATACTATTACATGCAAAAAGTTCTCTGTGATAGGTGACAGTAATGGTGGACAAGCCATCCAAACATGATGTCCTGGTGTTGGGGGTGCTGCCTATGTGTTAATATCCTTCTGCCTCTCCTCAGCTGGGACGGGGACTGGCCCTGGATCTAAAATCGCTGTACCCTAAAAGACTGAACCCTGACATTGACATCTGGACCCGAGACTTTGGTTGAGAAAGCTGCTGCTTCTCCTGTCTCCAGGGCTGCAAACTGTGGGGAGTGCTTATTACTGCTTCATTTGGTGAGTGAAAGATAAAAGCAAGATGAAGAGTATAAAGTCCCCTGGGTTCATGTAGAAAGTCAAGGTGCTGGGAGCAACTGGAAGGTTTTCCTCAAGGCCATCAGTTTTCCTCTGGCTGCAGATGGCATTTGCACAAAAACTACAGGAAACCACACAGGCTTGCACATAGTTTCCACAACAAAAGTACAAAAAGGGGCTCTAGGCAGACACTACTGTTATGCTGAGTGTTTAGGAAGCAAGATGCAAATGGATCCCTCCACCACCCACAGACCAAACAACTCCAGACCACCAAAGGACTCCCCAAAGCACCAACTTGGCATCTGGGAACCCAGCAGTGCCCCTCATCCTAGGAGCCTTACTATGGCCAAATCACTTTCTCAGGCCCTGCTAATGTGTGACTCTGGCTGCCTTGGAGATAGGAAGGATCGTGATTATTGGTCCCCCCCTATACAAAACAACCAAGCCCCAGAGGACCTGTCTAGGGAACAGTGCTATGATGTAGGGATGAACACTAAATTCTGATTCAAACCTAGGTCTCCAGACTCCAACGGCTGCTTTTCATTACAATCCAGCTGCCCACTAATTAAACACAGGCCTGCCTAATACCACCCTCATTCTCCCCCCATCCCTCGGCTTCCACCCTATATCTTCTAGTGTATGCTTAGGAGTTTTCCAGAAGCTGCTCCCTTCTTCCCACATCTCCCTTCCCCCAAGAGGTGCCATGTGCTAGAGACCTCTGGACACTTTTTCCTGTGTTGGCAGCAGTCTAGACCCAAGTTAAGATCTTTCCTGCCCACCCCAACTGGGCCCTCCTTCCTTTATTATTTTCCAGCCAATTCACATGTGAACCCTGCACATACTGTGGGTGAAAACCACACATCTCAGTGCGTTCTCTGCTCTTCCTTCTTTCCATAGAGCCACCCAGTTGCAGGCAGGAGGATGGGCATGCACACCCAGGTGACAGGACCTGCAAAGCCATGCACCCACAAATACACAGGCATGCCCAGGAAGGGAGACAGACTGCTGAGAACAATCCTGTGTCTGTGCCAGACCCAGCAGCTGCCAGCATTTAGCAGACCCTGTTTTGCCTGGGGTACTGCAGCCAAGGACTGTACACTTCTAGCTAAGATGACTCTGGGCCTGTCGCCTCAGCTAACACAGAAGAGGCAGCTACTGTCATTAAGAGTGGACAAAGAGAGTGACATTTTGAGGAGGGACAGTCATGCACGGGGAACCCTGGACTACACAAGGCCCTTGGAGGCCCAGGCTTCCCCCTAAAGACAAGTGCAGAAAGGCAGACTCAGAGCACAGTTATGGACCCCAGTGCTGCGCACCCCTACAGACACCAATGTGGCACGCATCCACCGTGAGTGCCCGGAGGATTCCTGCCCGCTTTTCTCATCCACAGCCACCTTAAACCCCTGCCGCCAGCCCCCACCCTGGTCCCCGCAGGGGTCCCGCTCTGGAGCCGCAGGGGCGCCTCTCCAGGATACCCCCTCCCCAGCCCCTGCAGGGCGCGCTTCTCCAGCGGCCACCTGCACTTACCAGGCCCGAGGGCGCAGGGCTCTCAACGCCGCGAGGGAGCGCGAGCCTGCAGGACCAAGAACGCCGCCGCCAGCGCCCGCCCGCCCACGGCCCGTCGGCTCCGCGCTCCTTCCCTGCCACCTGGAGCCGGCTGCTTGCGGGTCCCCGCTCTGCCCCGTGCTCCGCGCCGCTGGCTGCAGCTCCTCGCCCCGCTCGGCTCCGCTCCCAGGCGCCCCTCTCTCCTCCACTGGCCGGCGGGACGCGCCCAGAACCCGGGGGGCGGGGGCCTGCTCTTTGTTCGGGAGTTTGCCTTTCTACATTCAGAGCACACAGAGCAACGAAGTGGGATCAGAGGCAGCTGTGCTGTTGCCTGGGGGAAGCTTGCGGGGTGGGCGTGGGGCAGGGGGAAGAGATTGGGGGTGTGTGTGCAAGTCTCCCTGCCCCCGCAGCCCCCACCCCGCTCCCTTTCTTGGCTCTCACTCCCAAGTCCTCTACTTAGGTCAGGCCCCCTGGTGGAGTGAGGAAATCCACCGTCCTGGGAGAAGTTGGTTCTTGGGGTTCCCTGGGCATCCTAGGGATAAGCCTCTTTAATCACAAATAGAGCTTCTCTACTCCCCCCACCCCAGACACACAAAAGACTCCACCACTGACTGCCCTGTCCCTCTCAGAGTCCTGTGGACCATCCGCTTTATACTCCCTGGCCTGGGGATAATCAAGATCTCTTCCTAGAGTGCAAGGAAAAGGCAGGGCACCCAGCAGAGTTCCTGGTCCCCTGCCAGGTGGAGGTGCAGAGGGAGCTTTCTGGCAGTGGGGCATGCATCTTGTATCATTTCCCAAGTGAACCAGGGCCTGGTGAGGACCTAGCCATGCTCTTTTGAAATGTAACTGCAGTGGGCGAGGGTACCCATTCCCCAGCTGGCTAGGTCAGGGAAGCCACTGGAGGCAGGGAACTTTGAGAGAGTCACTGGCTACTGCTGTACCCGTGTCCAAATTACCCCAGCTAGCTGCCCAGAGAGGGTTACCACAGAGTGTTAGGCGGGTGCTGTGGTCTGTCCTCTCTAAAAATTACGTTGTACTTTGGCCCCTGTGTGACTTGTTGGGGAGTGGTGGCACCTTTGGAGGTGTTTGCATCATGAGGGCTCTAATGCTGCTTCCATGGAGCTGAGCTAATTTTCTGGAAACATTTTTGTTCTTACAGGATGGGATCAGTTACCTTGGAGAGAAAGTTGTTGTAAAGCACAGCACCTCCGTGTCTCCTGAGGGCAATGTTTTCCTTTTCCCCTTTCCTGCTGTGACGTGGCATGAAGCCCTGCCATGGCTGCTCATTCTTGGACTTCTCAGTCTCCAGCACCATGACCCAAATAAACTTTATAAATTGCTTGTCTCAGGTATTTTGTTACAGCAACAGAAAATGGACTAAGACAATGTGAATCTCAGAGGAGATGATTGCAATAACTCCTGAGTGATGAAGATCTGAACAGGGGGATGGAAGCTCAAGACCCAGTGGTGGGGAGTCTGCAGACCTCTCTGAGTGTGCTGTGGCAGGAGGGCTGGCGAGGAAGTGTCTCAGGAAGGGGGCCGTGGTGGTGCTGTAATCTGTGGGAGTCTGAGGAGGGCTTGGCTGGCCTGAAGCTGAGTTCAGCGGTGGCAACTTGAATTGGAGAAGCAGGCGATTCTGGAGGTCTTACAAGAGGGGCTGAGACAAAAGGTGGAGATTTTGGAATCATCTGAGATGGAGCTGAGCCGATGAGAGAAGGTGAGATGAGTGGAATGTGGGAAAGGAAGAGAGGACAGGGGCTGAAAACAGGACCTAGGTCTAAGGAAGAAACGAAGTCAACGAAGGAGGTGAAGCCTTCAGGAGAGAGGGTAAGGAGGGTCAGGACTACGGGAGGCCACAGAACTCAAGAGAAGAAGGGGTGTTCAACAGGGACCCACACTGCAGGAGCACCAAGGAGCAGGGGGCTCATGAAAATGGGGTTAGATTTGGAAATGAGAAGACCTTTGCAGACTTTCAGAATAATGACTTAGTGGTGGGTTGCATTAGCCAGACGGCCACTGGTTATGGTTTAAATCTGACATGTTCTACAAAGGCCCTACGTTGGAGGCTCAGTCACAGCCGGTGGTGCTGCAGGGAAGTGGTTCAACCGTTAGGAGGCAGGGCCTAGTGGAAGGAGGTCAGGTTGCTGGGAGCGTGTCCTATAAGGGGGCATTGGGAACCCAGCCCCTCCCTCTCCCTCCCTCCCTCTCCCTCCCTCCTTCCTGGATGCCATGTGTGAACAGCTGTGCTCCACCATGGACTCCCCGCCATAATATTCTGCCTCGCCACAGGTCCAGAGCTATGGAGCCAAGGGATCGTGGACTGAAACCTCGAAATCTATGAGCCAAAAGTAAATCTTTCCCTCGTCAATGGTTTATCTCAGCGATTTCCTCACAGTGATGGAAAGTGACTAACTTGCCACTCCTTGGAGGGATATCTGGATCCTGGATCCATGTGGTTGATGCAGGGATAAAAATGTACATCTACTTGCTTCAGTTTCAAAGGACTCTGAAGGGTCACCCCAACCCCACGGCTTCCCAAAGGATGTGTCGAGGCCTCATCTCGGTTCAAGTTCATTCTCTGTCTAATCTTGTTTTCCTCTCTCTTAAGATGTTAGGCCCAGAAGTACCCTTCAGTAGACCTCCTGCCTACCGGCCTCCTGCCCATGCAGAGTCCCTGTCCTACAAACTCAACCTGAGAGATAGGGTCACTGAGAGAGGGTGAGGAGCCCAAAGAAAAACAGTAGGGTAGCAGTAAAAACAGAGGTGAAATAGCCCTAGCATGAGCACCAGGGAGTGAAGGCCAGACAAACCCCTGGACTGGGGGCTCTTCCCCTTGATGAAACTGTAATGAAGCCGTTTCAGGGGACAAGCATTGTTAAGAAAGATCAAGGAAGGCAGTGCTACAGGAAAAGACTGAGAAATGGGCAGCATAGAGGGTGTTATTTGCGGTAGGCTCTGGGTGTTCAGAAGCCAAGCGGAGAAGGTAGTAAGTAGGCTTGTGCAGGGGAAGAACGGTGGGGTGGAGCAAGGATGAGGGTACATTGGTGTTCCTTAAAGTTAATAATTTGAAAATAGCAATTGGGGGGCTGGGGTTGTGGCTCAGTGGTGGAGTGCTTGCCTAGCATGCACGAGGCACTGGGTTCCATCCTCAGCACCACATAAATGTAAAATAAAGACATTGTGTCCAACTAAAAACTTAAAAAAAATAAATATCTTTTTTTAAAAAAGAAAGAAAATAGCAATTGGGAAAGAGAGAGTTGGAAAAAGGCCCACAGGGACTTTTTTTGTCATACGAGAGAGCAAATGAAAAATGAACTTTTGGGCCATAATATTCCCTCTCCAGTACCATCCCTAGTAAACATTACACATCTAGAGTAGTGAACCAGTAGAAATATAATGTGTAACTAAAATTCACCCAGGAGTCATGCTTTAAAATGTGAAAATGGAAGCTGGGGGGAGTGGAGAGATGATAATCGAAGGGTACGAAGCCTCAGGAGGAATACATTGAAATTTTTAAAAGATGTGTTGCACAGTGTGATGAGTACAGCTAATGTCTTAGTTATCTGTTACTCTCACAGAATACCTGAGACTGGATAATTTATAAAGAGGTGTATTTTGCTTATAGTCCTTAGAGGCAGGAAGCCCAAGACTGAGTGGCTACCTTGGCTTGGTTTCTGGTGAGATGCTGCTTCAATTCATGGTGGAACACAAAAGGCAATTTGAGCATTTGAAAAAGAGAGTGAACAAACAGGGCCAGACACTCAATTACAACTCGCTCTCTCAAATCCATTCCAGAAGAACTAATCTCATCTCTTAAGAAAGACCTTCATCCCTTTTAGAAGCTTCATCTGCCAACCTTTACATTGGCAACCATTTTTCAACCTGACTTTTGTTGAAGGTCAACTATATTCAAACCATAGCAGCAAATAGTTGAGCACTGAACATTTCAGTGTTACTAAGGGTAAAGCTTGAATGTTCTCATCACAAAAAGTCAAATATTTAAGATGCTGGGTAGGTTAATTAGCTTTATTTAATCATTCCATGCTATATTAAAAATCATAACATCACTGTACCCCATAAATATGTGCAACTACAATTTGTCAATATGATAGAAAGAAACACAATGTAAAAAAGTGAGATTAATTTTAATAGTGTATTTAAGATATTATCATTTTGATAGGTGCTCAAATAAAAAATGAAGAATGAGATATTTTACACTTTTTCCCCCCTACCTAAGTCTTTTAACTCTGGTGAATGTTTTACATTAACAACTCATCTAAGACGATACACTGAATTTTCACTGGGAATACCAGATCTGTATTTAGATTTCATAATATTTAGAGACAAGAAGTAGAATTACAAACCTACTAAATTGTTAAGTTCCTCCAGACATATTTGAGTTTTTTAATAACTAAATTGAATGATCAGTGTTTGAATTTAAATTCCAGTTAATTCAAGTTGAATGAAAATTTCCACATTTTATAGGTGCATTATAGTTGTACATAACAATGGGATTTGTTGTTACATATTTGCACATGTACACAAGGCAACAGTATAATTCGGTCAGTATCCCTCCTCCGCACTTCCCCCTCCCTTCCCTTCTCCCATCTCTAGGTCCCTTCCCTTTACTGATCTCCCTTTCATTTTTATAAGACTAACCCATCCTTCTTTACCTTTTCCCTCTCTAGCTTCTGCATATCAGAGAAAACATATGACCCTTGACCTTATGAATTTGACTTATTTGGCTTAACATCCGGTCTCTAGTTCCTGCAAATTAACACAATTTCATTTTTCTTTGTGACCAAACAAAACTCCATTGTGCATATAAACCATGATTTCTTTATCCATTCATCTGTTGGTGGACACCTAGCTGGTTCCACAGTCAAGCTGAATGATTTAAAACTTTAGTCCTTCACTTGCACTTAGCACATCTCAAGTGCTCAGTGGACCCCTGCGACTCGTGGCTACCATAACGGAGCAGGGCAGGTCTAGACCATTAATTCCTAGACTTCGGGGTTTGGTTATGGCTCTGTCTTCACCTTTCATGGAGGAATGGGTCTCCACTCCCCCAGAGTACTGCGCCATTAACAAGAACCTAACCTGTGCCATGTTATTTCACAAACATGCTTGAAGAAGAGGAGGGAGAAGATTGAGAATCTGACATCTATGAAAGGGGATTAGAGGGTTTGACCCAGACTAGAAGAAGAGTGAGGAAAATGAGATGAGTTGGAAGAATTTCATTTTGATTGTTAGTGTTTGTATGAGGACCGTGGTTTCTTTGTCAAGTTGGACACTCCAGAGAGTGAATGAATAGGGCACTGTAATAATACACAGGAAGGACCCTCTTGCTTATGTGACCTCCCTTTTAATAGTGTCTCTTGAGCTCTGAGCCTTGACTGGGTTGCAAACATGGGGATGTAGCTGTTTAATTTGGACCTGGTTTACTGCATATGCAAAAGAGAGAGCGTAGTCCCGTGTGTGTGTGTGTGTGTGTGTGTGTGTGTGTGTAGC